GCACAAGGGGGGTTGTGTGGGGCAGCACACAGACTGCTTCGCCAGGCTCTCTCCTCGCCCACTCAGGGTCACACAAAGACCTTCCTCGCTCCGTGGAACAGGGCAAGGAACTGTTTATGTCCCACTGAGGCTGGAGACCCTCATCGCAGGGGAGTGTCTGTGCTCAGAGCTGCATCTTTGCTTCACCATCACCAAAATCAGGGAGGGCAGTGGATTGCAACAGCTGCGGGGAGCTGGAGTCACATAAGGCTCCTGGCAGGGTGGCAGATCACATCTGCAAATAGAATGTCGTTTTCCTTCACTTCTTGTCCTAGAAAGGTCTTTTCTGCTGAAGTGATGCTCTGAGGGCCCTGCATCCCACAGCCAGCGACTGTGAAGCCCCATCCTGCATCCCCACCTCGCGAGAGCTTCCCTGGCCCAAGGGTTGGGGTCACTCTCGGTTGTCGCTCTGCAGTCGCCCAAAGCCGTGTCATCCCACTGCTGGCACACCTCCAGCGGGTGTTGGTAATTGGTAACGCCTGCACCAGGGCTCCCTCCGCAGCAGCCCAGGCCGTGCCGCTCCCCGTGCCTGCAGCTCCTGCCCTGGTTCCTCGTTTCCAGCCTGCCTCTGCAGGCTGCCTCCTGCTGCTGGCAGCATCCAGCCTCGCTCCTCCTCTCCTCTGTTAGCTGCAGTTCTTGTAATCAGCGTTGATTATAAATCCGCTGGGTTTGGGAGCAGCTTTGGATAGCTGTGCCAAACCTGAGCCATATGTGCGCTCATTCCTGAACGTTGTGCTGACATCAGAAAAACCTCTCGCCCTCTGGCATGCCTCGGGGCAGCAGTTAGAGGTGGGAACATCGGGAAGTGGGGCTGGGGAAGAGTGAGTCAGCACTGGAGCTGGCACGGACGCGGAGCGGTTGGACACTGGACGTTCAGAAGAGGGGAGGGAGTGCACTGACCGGGGGTCAGCGGCCAGCTCCAGAGCCTGGCACTTGAAGAGAAGTGGCCCGAGAGAAGGACAGAGCCTGGGTTGGGCGCTGCGGGCAGTTCCCTGTGCCGTCAGGCTGTGCTGAGCCCCAGGCTCGGAGCTGGGGGGGCTTCTGCTGGTGGTGGGGCTGAAAGCTGAGATCTTGACAAACAGCCTGTACTAACGCATGGTTCGTGTTCTGCGCAGGCGAAGGGGCCGCAGTCTTGCTTCGCTCTTTGGAGCCTCTTCAGGGTTTGGATGCGATGAGAGAGCTGCGCAGCGCTTCTAGGAAAGGACCCACAAAGCCACTGAAGGACTGGCAGCTGTGTAACGGGCCCTCCAAGCTCTGCCAGGCACTGGGGATCGATAAGGCTTTTGACCAAAAGGACCTGACTCAGGATGCAGCCATCTGGATGGCACCTGGCCGTGAGCTGCCCGGGGAGCAGGACGTGGTGACCACAACCAGGATTGGTATCGGCAGCAGGGGAGAGTGGGCACAGAAACCTCTCAGGTTTTACGTACGAGGAAACAAATTTGTGAGTGTTGTAGACAAGAAAACAGAGAGAGAGATGGCAGCGGTGGGACACTTGTCTTGCAGCTGACAAGCCTTGCGGGTGTGCCACCGGCCAGGACGTGAGCTGTGCTCTCTCTGTACAATGGCCTCAAGTTGTGTGGTGGCAGCAACATGAGCAAACACAGCGGAGTGGAGGTTTTTAACAATAAATGTACTTTATGATAACGCACGGGGCAAGGGGGAATTGTATTTGTGGGACAGACTGGAGGGGGTTTCGCAGCCAGAACTGGGGTTGGGTTTGGACGCTGGAGGCCACTTTCTGCCTCGTGAAGGGCTCCAGGCTGGGTTCAGGGGGCGAGTGGTGACAGTTTAGAGCTGTGACCTGTGCTGCTCCCATTGCCCCTGGCCCCAGGAGCAGCAGCACGGGGTGCAGGGGAGCGGTCAGGAGCCTGGGGGGCAGCAGGGCAGGGGCCTGGGTTCCATCAGCCTGGAGGAGAGGAGGGGAAGGAGGGGTCTTGCTCATGGGAGGGGGTGGAGAAGACAGAGGCAGACTTGTCAGACAGGATGAGAGGTGATGGGCATGAGCTGGAAAACAGGAACTTCTAATTTGCTCTATGGAAAAAAATTTCAGCGTGAGGGTGGTCAAACGCTGGAACGGGGGCTCAGAGGAGCTGTGGGATCTCTGTTGTGGGAGACATTCAAACATCCACTGGACAAGCTCCTGAGGGACCTGATCTAACACGTTTTCTTTGAGCAGAGATTTGGACAAAAGACCTCCAGAGCCCCCTTCCAACCTCTACCAGTCAGGACCATCCACCTCAGAGAACAAGAATGGGTTCTGTTTGTTTTCTCAGCTGCTCCTGAGACAAGTTCAAGATGTACCAGTGTGTGAACCCCAACCCAGAGAAAGCACTGATGCTGAGATTTCTGTGATGCTGCAGCCTACCATGAGCTACAGAGGGGAAAAAAAACCTCGAGGATTTAGGGCAGAACCTGCAGAACTGTAGCCACCCTGGCAGTTTGAAGGGTGACAACCCCCCCCCCCACACCTTCCGCCCCCAATTTCACCCAATTTTAGGGGGCGAGTGAAGCTGCTCTGGGAGGGCCTGCAGCTCTGGGAAAAACTCCAGCGTGTGTGGTGTAAGGGAGAGTCTGTAACACCCACCCTTGGAAGCAGCCACCCTGGAGGTAAAGGTCTCCCCCTCCTTCCCTGTGTACACAGCATAGAGCAGGGACCAGGGGAACTGAGGCAGGATGGGGGAGCAGGTGGCTGCTCCTGCCGCCCTCAGAATGCACTGGTGGCTCCTGCCCCTGGCCCGGCTGGAGGAGCAGAACCGAACCCGGGCAGGGACTGGCCACCGACAGAGCTGGGGCATGTTCAGGGGGAGGGATGGAACCAGGGCAGAGTTGCTGCGGGTCCCTGCACACACATGAACACATCTGTGGACAGACATGTACAGTCAAAAACTGGGAGCCCTGCAAAGCCCCGGACCCCTTGACTGCTTGGTGACAGCCCTGCCCCAAGAGATAGTTCGTAATAAGGATCCTGGGGAGAGGAAATAACACTCTGTACCACCCTGAGCAACTCATTCATGAAACCATTTATTTGTAATGCTTTCCCTTCACCCCTCTTTCCTCACTGCTGCCAGGTAACGATGATCAAACAGCATTCCCCAGCACCCAGGGACATCTTCCCTAAAAGCCAGCCCCCCTCTGCCCTGGCGCAGAGGCCACCCCCACTCTGCTGTGGGACAGGCCACTCACCAGTGGTGCTCCTGGCTGAGTGACCCCCAGGCTCCAGTGGTGCTGGAGAGGAGAGAACACCCTTTGGAAGCGCCAGCATCCACTCCGAGGCGCAGTGCTGTCAGCCGCAGCGCAGTGCAAGGCTCCCGGCCGCTCTCACCGGCCCTGGGGAGGGAGCAGGGGCAGGGCTGTGACCCTGGGTTTTCCCCGCTAAGCGAGCTCACGCTGTCCTGCGGCAGGCCCCCGAGTCCTCGCACAGACCAGCCTCAGCTGTACCGCAGGGAGCAGATGGGAAACTGAGGCACGGAGGGGGAGAACCTGCTGTCGGTCACAGGGCAAGAAGGAATTGAATTCACCTCCTTTAGTTTTTAGACCTCTTTCAGACTATCAGGGTCAAGAGCGTAGCAGGTTCCCTGCCTTTGCCAGCAAAGTCATTTTAAGAGGGACTGAAAAACTGAAATGACGGGGTCCTCGTGGCTGGTCACCACCAGCACGCTGCGGAATTTGTCAAACAGCATCAGGAGCTGGGAGCGACGCATGTTCTCGTTGTACATGATCTCCTCCAAATGGTGTCGGCCTCGGAAATAGTGCAGCAGCCTGTGGGGAAGGAGAGCAAGTGAGGCACGGGGTGAAAAGCAAGCACACAGAGCAGGAACCGATCCTGCTGCCCTCGAGGCTTCCCCTCCCATGGGATGCAAGTCAGCAGGCGTTTGGGTTGTGCCCCTCACTTGTGTGAAAAGTGAATTAAATCAGTTCTTACCTTGGGCATGCCTAGCACAGACATCCCCTGGAAAGCAGGGACCTTCCCCTCCTCAGGACTGTGCAGAGGTTCTCCTTGTAGCACAAGGTTTCTTAGCCTGGGGCATTTCCTCAGACTGTCCATTTTCCACATAGCTTTAACTCCAGAAAGCAACAAGTGCCAACAAGCCTGGAGAAGTCAGCACATGGCAGATTTCCTTCTGCCCTCTCTGGTGCAGCTCTGCATCAGAGGCCCAGGTACCTGCTCTTGCTTCTAGAATTAAGAGCTTATTTTCCCTCACAGCAGCCCAAGGGCTTGGTAACTAACTACAGGTTGGTCTACTACTCCTCTTGAGGTTTGGTCAGCTTGGGGTAGGCAGAGCAGTCACAACAGGGAGATGGAAATTTTGGTGACAGGCACCACAGCAAGGCTCTGGGAGTTACAGAACCCCTGCCACATGTGATCCCCTGCTCCCCAATTTGCCGTGTCCCTCCTCTCGCCTCCCTCTCCTGCCCCAGGCAGCGGTAGGTCAGTGCAGAGCTGGGAACCCCCCGCACACCCCCTTTGCTTCAGTGCTCACCTGCCCGCTCCCCGGCTGGCACCGGGATGTGGAACCTCATCTCTACATCTCTGTACCCACAGCACAAACACCAGACAGGCCAGCTCCCGTGTGTCTACCTCTCCCTGTCCGGGCGTGCATTCGCCTCTCGCAGCACCTCCCCGGGGTATTTAAATTGGGGGAACGGGCTTCCCTCGCCAGGCCAATGGCAACCAGCATGCACCGAGGAGTGGCCACGAGCAGGGACAGCGTGAGTTTGTGCGCTCGTGTGTCAAAAACAGACCATTCCCGAGGTATTAATGGTCATTTTTAGATCTTACAAATTGTATCACTGTTCAAAGAGTGATTTTCAGAAAGATTGTAAGAGCTGTGTATTCTCTCCCTTCTGCACAGCTGCTCCCTGTGACTGTGCTCTCACCCCCTGGCACAGCTGGCTGCTCTGCAAACGGTTACGACCTGGCTTTCAGCAGCAACACAGACCAAGCAGGAGTTTTCCAATAAATAAATCCATCCTATATTCAAAAAGTGTCTGCATTTGTAACTGGTCAAGATGAAATACTTTCCACTCCAATAAAAGCTAGAGAGGATATTAAAGAATATCACAAAAATGCCGGCTGGAAGACACCTCCAAAGCCTAGTCCAGCATCCTGCTCCAGCAGGACTAGTGCCAGGGCTGTAGCGTTTGCCGGCCAAGCTCTGACACCCGCCCAGGATGGAGATCCCCCCACAGCCTGGGTGAGCTGTCCTGGGCTGCACCGCCCTCCCAGGGAAGAAGTTCTCCCAAAAGTCCAACCAGAATCTACAAAGCTGTAACTTGGGGCTCCTGGCTCCAGTCAAGCTGGGCACTACCTTCGCCTTTTTGAGTGGTGAACATTTATAGGACCCAAATGGGACACGAGATGGGACTTCTTGGGGCAGTGACACTGCATGTGAGTCCCTCTGAGGATGCACAGATGTGTCTTGACAGATGTGCAGTGCCAGATCCAGATGCAGTGATGGAAGATTATTGCTTTCCATTGCTCATCACTGCTCTCTCCTCTTCAACTGGTAAGAACTGCCCCTCTAACAGCAAAGTAAAAAAATCCCAAGGCTTATCTCACACTAGGCATTCAAATAAAATTAGCTTCTTTCTGGCCGCATCCCTTCCACCAGCACTGCTTGAAAATGCAGCAGAATTGTTGACAGCTTGGTGCCACCAATGAGCCTTCCTCAGAGGATTAAAGGCTCTCCATCTCCCAGTCTAAGAGCAAGAAAAAAAAATCCTGAAAGTGACTCCACACCCATGGCTTGGGAGAGAAGCCATGAGTGAAGCCTCAAATTGTCTTTAAAAGCACTGCCTAATGTGCAGCGAGGAACGCTTTGTGTACATTACCAAAGATCTAGCTCAAAAAGAACCTGTCTCCTACTTAAGTTTACTTCTGGAAGGCCACAGCAACCCTCCTCCAGCAGCACCTAAGGAAAGAACTGGGATTTCAGTTCCCATTCAACGTTACGAGGGTTCATGCAGCAATGCTGGAGCCAAGCTTCAGTATTCCTTATTTCCCCGGAAGGTTTCTGCCTTGCAAATCCCAGCTGTGCACAGCCAGGGACAGGCAGGAGCTCTTTCTGCCATGAGTAACAGGCGTTCGGAGGCACAGACACAAGAAAATGTATCAGCCTGAACTTCACCGCTCTGCTGAAAATCACCCATCCCTCTGGCTGGCTCCTCTCGAAGGGCCCTTGCAGTACATTGAGCGCACTAACTCTGCACTTAGAGCGGGAGTTTGTTCTGAGAGGCAGCTGGCGCAGCAGAGCTGTCTGCCAGAGCACAGCCCTCGTTAGCAAAACGAAGAGCTGGGCAGTAACAGTGCTGGGTGATGGGAGATCCGCTCTGCAGCGGTGTCTCCACCATTGCTCACACTTTCATTAAGAGCAGTACGCTTACCCAGACACTCATCTCTGATGGCTTATGGCACAAAAACAGAGAAAATACACCCACAGCCTCTGAGTTAGTGTCTCATAAAGCCACTGGTAACCAAGAGCATCTTGCATAAACATTTCTGTTTGTACACTCCAGCATCCTGCCCACAGGACCCGTTTGTTTATCAGATCCTCTCTCCTCCTCACTGCGGACGTAAGGGTAAGCTGTGCAGTTGTGACTTCAATCTAGAGTAGAATGGAAACAGACCGAGCAAAGCCATCCTGGGGATCTGCAGAAGAACCTGGTGCATGAGCAAACTGCAAAACAAACCTAATTCAGGCAGCTGCCTGCTTACGGCAGCTGATTTGATGAAGAAATCCAAGTAAATTTTTGCATCTCTAATTCCAAAGCTTTCAAACAGCTGTTTTACCCGGATGAGGGAAGCGATAAGGGAGCAATTGTGAAATCCTTTCCTCTCCCTAGGATAACTTAACAATCTGCTTTGCCACCAAACTGGTCCAGAGCAACCCCCATCTGTCTCAAGATATCACCAATTATTATTTGGTTTTTACTTTCTTGCTGGTTTTGTAATGACTTATCTGGTAACGAGGAAAAAACATTTCAAAGTTCTCAAATGGCCAAAGTGTTGCCCCTCAATCAGCAAATCTCCTCTGAACAGTTTACAGGAGATGGAGATGAGTAATTCAGAGAGCAGGAACTACCCACAAGCTTGGGAGAGCTCTGAAAATACCCGAGCACAGCATAGCTGCAAACTTTGCTGTAGACAAGAAAATATTTCCTTCCTTGCTGTTAGTTTCCCTAGGGTAGCTGTGTATATCCATCGTAGGGCGAGAACCAGGTTTCCAGGGGATTACCAACCGAGTCTGGCAAGTACAGGAAAAGCTGCAGCACTTGCCTCAGGTGGTTTTCAGCTCCACAAGTATTGCATTCCAGGGATGCCACTGCGTTTTGCAATGCTTAGGAAGAAGCAGCATTTCCCCCCCACACCTTTTTTCCAGATGGCTGGTGAAGAAGTCATTCTGCTTTTTACCACCTGCAGAACCACATCTTGGGTATTTCTGTTGTGTTGAAATTTGTAACAACAAAACTGTGCGCTACAAATCTCACATCCCACCGACTAACCTAACTAACCTGACGCAGCAAGCAGCTCATCTCTGCAAAACAGAGCTTGAGCCGTTTGCAGAATGGGCTGTAAAAGCATTCAGGCTGTCTTTGTGTCTGACACTCTGTCTCATATTTGCATGGAGTTTACAAACCTTAAAATAAAGGAGAGCTGGCTTGGAAATATCAACGGACACAAAATGACAGCACCAGCATGACTGGCTCTTTGCTTCGCATGCTTAGGAGTTTTTTCCAGGCTGTGCAGTTTTATGCCAACCATGTGTGCATGCAGGAAAACCAGCAGGCAAGCAGGGAAGTCCCTGTTGTCTAACCACATGCCCTAATGTTCCTTCGCACACCCAGGGTTCTTTGTTAACAAGTGTTCTTGTGACACATATATTAGTTTTTGTCAAAAATCGATGTGCACAGATGAAATAGGCATAAGGGGAACAAATCCAGAAGAATTTATCCTTCAAAATCCCAAGCTAATGGGATTTGCTCAGTCCACATGAATCCTTCAATGAAACAGCAAGGATAAGAAAAAAGATTACATTCTGCGCTCCTCGTTTCCTACCTTGCAAACATGCGAAGATCTTCTGGATTTTGGGCAGCAGGGACATTAAGGATAGCTTCCCGCTCATGTTCCAACAAGCTTGCTAGGAGATTCTCCGTCATCCTTTTATTTAGGGGTGAGTCCCCACCAGGTATCAGCTCGGCGCTGGAATTATCCATGCTAGGGCTTGTCAGAGTCATGTCATCACTACTGGCTATCAGGGAAGACAGAAAGAGACACAGAATTTTTATATTGCTCAGCATAACGATGCAAAGATTATCAATTCAGGCTGTTTCTATGCAGTCTTTCCAAACAATCCCTCAGATTCATAGAGCAAAGAAAGTGGCTCTCGAAATGCTCCCTGTATCTGCAATTAGTCATATGACAACAGCCATCTTCTCAATGGGAAGGTCAAGTGTTCCAACAAAGGCATCAATTTATGTGGAAAATTGTACTTCTGGAGACCATAAACAGTCCATAAAAAACATCTGAAAAGAAAATTCCCAGCCAGCTCTGCTGGAATATCATGAAGTGGCAACATGAAAAGCCTCACAGCACAGAAGGTGGGAGCAAGCAGAAAGAAAGGCCAAGAAGCAATATCCTCTTGTGAGCAAGCCAGAATAAGCAGATCACAGACTTATCTGACTCACGTTCCAAGATTTCTGCCCTAATTCATGACTTCTGTAAAGCTGAAAGTTGTACAGAGAATCTCTCCCGATATCCAGCCTCAGGGGTGTTCTGAGAATGCTGCTCGTACCAGCACAGGCAGGAAAGCCTGGGGATTTCAGTGCTGTATCTGATTTATACTCGAAAAAATGCTTTCCTGGAATCACCCTGAAGAGTGGCACTGAGGAGATTAAATAAATCAGGAGACATAAAGAGAAATCAACTATTTTTGAGAATGACAGCTAGCTCTGCATCTCCTTAGGTGGCTCTACAGCCCACAGAAACCAATGCCATTTGAAACAAATTCTCACAATTTTCTTCCTCTCCTGAAAACCGAAGTTCATGCAGTAGCAGCAGTGCACCCAGCAGAACAGGGAGTACAGCAAGGAGGTAAGAAGTTACATCAAAAAAATAGAAGTATCTCTGACAAAAATATTTTACATGACCAAATGAGAGCCTGGCAAATCACAAAGCATGACTTGTTTTTAAAAACAAGAATTTAAGGTCTAATAGCTCTTAAAAATTTCATCAATGCCCAGCTCTACGTTTAAGAGGAGCTGGACATAATTAGCAAGCACTCCAGCGAAGACAAGTTGTCTTGTGACCAAGGCCTGATTACCGCTGGCATTGCTAAGGGAAGCTCTAGAAGTGGGTTGTAGCCTGAAGAGCAGAGCAAAGTGTGCTCGTACTTGGAGAACCAAAGCTGAGAGCGTTGGGGGTGCTTAAACTTCGGCCTCCAACTCTGGCAGTAAAGGGCATGTCTTCGTCTTGGGCTCGGAAATCCTCCTCGTTTGGCGGCACCATCAGACAGACGTACGTGTGGAGCTGAATAAGAAGCCGGTGTTGGAGCATCCATATCACCATTTGGATGAGCTGAGTCTGCAGAGGGAGAAGGGAGGGATTAAATAAAATAGAGGAGGAAAACAATGCACAAAGGTTAGGCTGGCTTTGTGACTAAGAATTCATAAAAAATGCTTTCCACCCCACACAACAGTTTTATCTCTTCTCCAATCATAAAAAGGTGACCAGGCACACACTTTCATCACACCCAAAGCCTTTGTGGCTGCTCAGGCTGTAATCAAACCTGTAATGATCAACGTGTCCTTATGCAACACGGACCAGCACCGCCAGCGTCCTCGCACGACCCCGCCCTGCCCCTCGCCACAGCCCCAGCCGGGCTCTATCAGAGCAGCTGAACACTGTACAACCCCACCTGGAGCTGTTCTGTCCTCTTTCCACAAAACAAGTTTAGTAGGTGCTAAAAGCTGGGAGAGTGTTCCTTCTGAGGGAGCAGACGTGGGAAAAGAGTCACGCAGGCACAGGCCGATGCCCATGGCCCAGCACCGCGAGCCCTCCGAGCAGTGTTCCAGTTTCTACACAAGGCCCACGACCATCACTCATGCCCAAAGGGTTAATCCTGGAGGCATGTTCCCCCAGTTCAGGTTCCCTAGAAAGCCAGGGAGAGGGCACAGGGACTGGGAGGGCTGCAGCAACCAAGGCAGGTGCCTGGCAGCAGGAGTCGTTTGCTCTCAGGTGGGAAATTGCTGCAAAACCACGGGAGAGGCTCCGGAGCCCTGCCAGGACGCGGTGACGCAGAACCAGCCCCAACAGCAGCACAAACCTGGGAAGAGGCAGCAGCCTGCCGCTGCCGGGAGTGCCCTCTCACACAAAGGGTTAACATCCCCCCTTTGCTCGCCATCCCTCTGCAATAGCAGCACGGCCCAGCGCAGAAAGGCACCTGGGTTTCTAGGGCGCAGCCAGGCAAGAGTTTCAGAAGCACCAAGAGATGATGCTGATGTTAAACAAAAGCGCACAACCCCGTCGTGTTCCAGCACAGTGTCCCCAGAGCCATGTGACGGCGGCGGCCAGAAGGAGGGACAACCACCTGTAGGTCATTGGCATTGCTTGTTTTCAGAAGTTTTGGAGGAGCATTCGAAAGACATCATCGTGTCTGAATTTCTGCACAAAAAGCCTTTTCATATCAGTGCAGGCAGCCCTCGCCAGCGCTCACAGCTCTGTGAACACTGATTCCCTGGCAGAAGCTGTTTGGGGATTTCATAGCAACCAGCACTGTTTTGGTGAGAGCAACACACACAGAATGAGCTCAGGCTGCGAGAAGGAAGCTCTCTGCTGGATTAATCATCAGGGTAACAGGCCAAATCTCAATAAAAGCCCCACACTGAAGTTCATCAGCCCACATAATTTTCCTTTTTCCATAAATCTTATAATCCTCAGTTCCTCCTCTGCTATCAAACCACAAAAGAAACATCTTCTGTTTGCAGACAGACCCACACCCTGTCTTTTCAGGGATTACCACTTTCAGGGACTGAATGGATTTTAATCTTAAAACTTATTATCTGGGATCGCCTTCAAACATATCTTTTTTGGAAAAGCCATAATTCATTTTACATGTTTAATAGAAAATCTAGAGAAAAGGAAGTTTGGCAAGAGATACCAAATGCATAGTGTTTTCCTAACATCTGAAATCAGGCTGGAAGGGAATGGAGGCTTAGTCCAGTGATTACACCCCTAAAAACCTTCCTTCCAGATGCAGGCCTGGGTGGAAAGATGTCTCATATATTTTACTTAAATTTCCAACCTGCTGGCACGCAGCGATGTCCAGTGAGCTAGTTTCACATCAAATGAAAGAGGTCTGCACATTTCACAGCACAAAATAACCCTGGAAAAATCCACGGCAATCCAAGGAGAGAGCAGGACGGGCTCTGCCAGCCCCGCACAATCTGCCGCGTGGGGCCTGACCCAGACCAGCCTCCACTGGTCACTCTGGTGGTTTCATGAGTTACAAAACAGCCAGTTGCTTTCCTTACAGCTCCATGCGTGCGGAAAGTCTTATCCAACACTCTCTAATTCTGCACATGGACCTTCCCCTCTACGCTCCTGTGCACACATCCAGGAAGCCACCCTGAGCCAGCAGCTACGGCGCAGTGGAACGCGAGGCCAGGCAGCAGCGGTGTTACAGCTTCACAACTGGAACACTGGACGGCCAACAGCTGCCAAACGCCTCTGTGCCGTCAGAGGGAGGGCTGGAGACAGGCTGCGATCAACTTCAGAACTAGAGAAAACCCTTCTTCCATATTGAAGCGAGCTTGAACGATCACCTCTAGAGAAGAAAGAATGGTCGTTGACCAAGTATCTATGAGCTAGGCTTCAGCGGGAATTCGGTACCTCTTAAAATCTAGTCCTACGAAAAACCCGAAGCGGCGCCACTGTGTGCCATCGCTGCAAACGCGCCTCGTGCCATTTCCACTTTTTCCAGGTTTAAACCTATTTCTTCCCCAAAGCAGCAAGTGTTTGCACAGACAAGGTCTGGCAGAGGCTTTGCTAATACGTTCTGCTGCTTGGCCTTCTGGGCACGAACACTGAGCTTACATCCATTCTCCATCTGCTCCTCTGGAGCTCTGACGGAAGTGCTCTTCCTCCCTCAGCAACACAGGGTTCTCTCTGTCCTTGGTCTCAGGCTACTTGACTAGCCGGGCTCCTTGCCGAAGCCAGGCAGGGCTGGGAGCAGCTTCCCAGGTGAGGGTACGCTCCCAGGACTGCCTCCGCTCGCCCAGCCATCATCTGGCACTGCAGGAAGCCGTAGCCGGCCTCTTTTGGCTGAAACACGAACACCGTGACAAAAACATAAAAGGAAACATTTTTCATTGCTTAATTTAAGTAACAATCAAATCTAAATTTCATCCATATTCCTTCCATCCTTCCCGCCTCCCCACGCTGCCTCTTTCCAGTCTGCACTGAGGGGGTCCCGTCTGCCGCAGCATCTGCACCACTCCGGCTGGCACGGATCGGCCCCGGCCAGCACAGATCAGCCCAGGCCATCCCCATCTCCCCCGCCTCGCAGCGCAGCGGGCCCTGGGAGAAGTCAGAGCGTGTTGTCATGCCGGGCAGCACGGAAGGCGTTGGTAACAATACACGGCTTTGTGCTTATTGACAAAAGCAGAGAAGCTTCTGGGAACACGGGTGCTATACGTCAGCCCATCTGGGCAGTTTGGGGTGGTCAGAAGAAAGCTCAGCCCCAGGTCATGGAGGGACAAGATCCCCCATTCATTTTTCTCTTCCCTCTGGGAGTCAAACGGAGCACTTGTAAAACTCCTGAGTAACACGTTAAATAAAATGCATTTCCTGCAAGGATTCTTTAAGGCTGTTTCTTTCCCAGGCCTAGAAAGCCAATTGTATTGGAATGCATTGTGGTGTCAAACCACACTTTTGTGAAAAACAGATCAGCTGTTAGAACTTCTCCCTATTTTACAGAAAACAGACTCTGAAGACCCCTAGTAATGTAGGACAAAACATTTATTGTCTGATATTGCCATTTTAATCATTATGTAACAGCTCTGAATTCTCACTTTGCTGAGAGCGCTTAGCCGTTCCCTCCGTTTAGGCCTAGAAAGCCCTATTTTTTTAACTTGCCACACAGAAAAACCCTGATTTTCTACCTAGTCCCACTGAATACAAATGCACCTTAATACAACTTCCATACCTCTGCCAACAAAAGCTCCCGTGGCTCCTAATGCCTTCCAGATGCCCAGCAGAACAGTCCCATTCGCAGCGCGTCGCTGGGAAGACACAACTGCGATTCAGGATTTGCATGCAGCTCTCCTCCCACTCCCGTCCCCTGACACACGCGCTCATTTCCCACCGAGCCGTTACACAAAGCACAGCACGTTTTCCGGATGCGTAAGGCAGAGGCCTCATCTACCGGTGCCGTACTCCCAACAGGATAGCCGGACTTATTCAAACAAAAGTGAAAAACTAAACGTATTTTGTTCAGCAGCAGCTGTCATACTTTCCCATCTGTTTTTTTCCACAGTTATCCCAGCCCCATCAAGGGAGAATTAGCTAACTACAATAATAATAACAGTGTGCACTCTGATAAAGAGCTATATTGTAGTGAAGGGGATGCGGGGAGGAAATGGGATGTCTGATTCGCCTAGGAACCCTCCTCCTACCTTACGTGGGGAAAGATCCTCCCTGCTAGTCCATGTTTGTTCCTCAGGGCAGGGTAGAGAGCTGTTAGACCTTCTTCTGAAACAGATGAACTTGCTGAGGCCGTAACGCACAGAGGAGGGGAAGCCACAAGTTTCCCAATTGTATCAGCTCAGGATCTCCTCACCCCACGGCCGCACCCTGGTGAGATCCAGCCCCAGCAACGTGAGCTAAACTGGTGGTTGTTCGGGACAGTCCCAGGCTGCACTAGATTGCTGCAAGTCTGGGTGACACCACACAGCACAGTGGAGCTAAGAGACAACCTAGAAGCTGCTTTCTTCACTGACATGCCCAGCTGCAGAAGTGCCTCCCTTGCTCTGCGCCAGCCCTGCAGCTTGCTGGATCTCCCCCTGAGCTAATTCCACCTGCTAACGTGGCAGAACACGAGGGCTGCTGAAACAAGTGAAGTGAATGGAGTCAAACTGGAGAGGAGCCAGCGCTCGAGTGTAAAGGGAAGAGGGAAGGGAGGAAGGCATGTGTGCACACACCTGAGAGCGGAAAAACAGGGCCTCCCTTCAGCAGCACCACGATATCGTCACATCAGCTGAGCTGCAGGCGTGGGCTCATCCCCACACTGCTGCAACACTGCTACCCAGGCGAGGCAGGTTACACACAGAAAAAGAGAAGCTAGCATAGACATCGCTGCACAAAGCCAAGGACTTCGCAAATTACAAGCACAAGGCCACCAACAGATACACAACAGAGTTCAACTGCAACATATGGCTCGTCATCGCAGGCAAGAGAAGAGATGAAGAAGATGGGCTCAAGAAGAATTCCTGTCTCTCGCACGGGGCACGGCTGAGAGCACAGGCAGTCCTGGCAGACACCGCTCACGGGACATCTCCTGCCTACTTGACACAGACCCGAAAGCAGAATGTAGACGTGCACTCCAGCTTTCAAGGCAGTCTTGTCTTTGTCCTTGCTCAGAGTATTGCAGGGTAGTTGTACCTCCTACCAGGCAAAAAACGCCACAGCCCCCCAAGTATACAAATGCCAGTGCCACATTTTTTTCATCAACCCAAAGGAATGGAGCAACTCCACCCATGTAACTGTAAGCAAGCAGCACATCAGGCAGCATGACTTGGTATAAAAACAGGAGGAAGGGCTCTCTAACAGCTTTCCTAGTTTGTATCGTGGACTTTATTAATGCCTTCCGTATCCTCTGCCCATCCAGAAACACATGCCAACAGGAGGGAGCCAATCCCATGCCTAAGACAAGAATCAACTGGGATGGATGCCATGGGACTGTAACCGTTTCTGCAGAAAACACAGCTCTTCCCACAGTACTGACCTTCTAGCACAGCTGACCTTCAGAAACAGAGACAGTACAGTCAGTGCGATGGAAAGCATAAGATAACGACTACTGGTGAAAATCTTCAAAGTTAAAACCCCCTACATCCCCTCCTGTGTACACACAGGACAAAATTACAGTGAGAGATCCAAGCTTTGTTCATTTTTTTCAAAGGCAAAGCAAATACAATTTGACAATATTTACAGTTCAGAGTACAGCATCTTTTATCACCACACAGCGGAACAAAAACCCACCCACACTTCATCAGATTAATTGCTGTATCGACTAGATCTCTGTTAATTACAATTGGAGCCTGACCACCTCAGGACAGGAATTGGATTCGTCTCTCTTAAAAGGCCAGTTCCTAACAAAACAAAAGTACAAAGAGTTCTCCTTAGGTAAATCCAAGTAGAAGAAAATGTACACATATGGAAACATCTGAAAACTCTTCAGTCTCAACTCCCCCAAGAACTGTCAGGCTTCGCTTGATCCAAAAGCAGCTCGCCATGACTCCCAACAGCCCACCACTGTATGGTGGTCTCCATCTCCACACACGTCTTGACAATGTCGCCCCAAGTCCTCTGCAACCACAGTCCTCACCTCCTCTTTTCAGACTCTAGGAGGCACTGCCAGAGCTTTTCCTGGCATCACCCTTCATCTCTCCACACATGCTGGAAGGATGATGAAAACAAGTCATGCTGGTGACCTCTAGGACCCCACCACATCGGGGTCAGCATCAGAGAGGAGACGCACGCTTCCAAAGAGCCATGTCAGCACTCCAACAGCTCTGGCAAGCATTGATCACGCACTGCTGTTTCAAGGCATAACTGCAGCAGGAAGTGGCAGAATTTATTTGGGTATTTTAAGGAAAAGTAGGATGTCCAAGAACCAGAAGTATTGAAGGAGAAGTATTAAGGTGAGTAATTAATTTTAAAAGGAGTACTGAGACTAAGAATGCCTCCTGAAGCTACTGCAGCTGGAAAAAAATTAATGCTATCAATTCAGCTTCAATTTTCAGGACCCTGATTTCTCTGTAACTACAATGAAATACTGACAAAATGGTAGTCACAGCTCTTCCCCGGCCTCCCAAGGTGGCAGCTGACCAGTACATATTATTGGGATTAGACACTACATCATTAGTTATCTTTATCTCTGATCATTATCTCTGCCAACCTGTAATTACAACAAACACTTCTCTCACAGTTGTGCCTGTGTGTACAACTCATGTCAATCTTCCAGATCTCTGAACAGTGGCTAAATTCATACAGCCAGCGAGTCATCAAAGTACGAAGGCTAGCAAACAACACTGCAAGGAACCAGCTAAAGAAACCTGTCTGTGTTCCCCTTGCCACAATGAGCTGTGCTCAGAGGTTTGAGCGTCTTCATCTGGGAATATGGGTGTCAGCCAGGAGACCTCACATTATTGAGCTCTTTCTTGCATTTCCCCACTTCCCAGAAATGCCGCAAACCATGGTCTATGCGTAGGCAAAACAACAGCACACCAATCCCAAATCCGTATATTATTATCCCAGATCTGAACATTAAAATGCTAATGCTGTAACACATGATCTTCGGTTGGCTACATGCTGAGTCTACTTCCTGTAACAGCCTTTAAACAATTCCCATTTCATATCAAAAGCTAAGTGAACAGACAGTTTGCTTTTAAAACCAGATTGTGAACTTAAGAGCAGACTGAATATAATAAAATTAAATGTGATTGTGAGGAATCCACAAACTTGCACTCAGCCCTACTAATTTATGACAGTTTTCAGCAGGCCAAATGGAGTTTCCATTTCCCTTACTATATCACTCAAGGAAAAGAAACATTCTCATTTTTCTTCTAGGATTGTGGTTTTCTAGCACAGCGCATCCGCACAGCTTCCCCTTGAACATCCCCACAGCTTTTTGGCATGTGGACATGAAAAAACAAATCATATGGTTGGAAACACAGCAGCTGGCAACTTCTAAACCTGCAAGGTTAGCAGGTTCCTACTAGGTACTCCAGAAGCAACACTATTCCTTGTTCTCATCAGCAGGAGAACGAGGAGCTCTTGTGCACTCCCCATCTCACCTCCTGAACCGGCGGTGCGAGCGGATTCTTGAACTCCGAGAGTGACACTGGGAGGGAGAACTTGGAAAGCATCGACGGCAGGTTGTGACCCCGGAACTGACAAGAAAACGCATCTGCTAATGGAGAATAACTACAGAAAAGAGGTAAAGGCAGAAATCAGTTTTATATTGCTGGTCAGTGTAACATTTATCCACTTAAGCATTACAGAAGTGCCAATTCCCAAATGAAATATTCTCTGTGATCTACAAAAACCATGAGGACAGTTTACAGCATGTTGCATCCTGCAAGAGTAACCAAGCAGCATATGCACTTTCATCTGGGCATTACACTCAGCTCCAGTACATTATTCAAGGTGTGGAGACAGTCCAGAGGAGAAAAATAAAAATGCTGGAAAGGCTAGACCCGCAGAGTCTCTGATCAAAGGAACAGGGACTGGGCAGTCAGGAGGAGACAGGGATGGGCAGGATATACACACAATCTTTGATTATGCAAACCAGCTGCAGCTGTGACCGTCCTCCCTGCCTGCGCTGACAGGACAAGCAATCTGACTGATCAGAAGCAAGGGATGGTCAAGTTAAATATTGGGAAAACTGTCATAGGATTTCCATCTACAAAGGTCTTCAAGAACAGCACTACCATATATGACACAGGCACGGTTGTTCCTGTATGACCCTCCAGCCCTATTTTTATACTTCTGACACAGAAATTTTGATTTAAAACTATTTTCCTATAACTGAGTTCCAACACAGACTCTAAAAACATCTCAAAATCCAACACAGAAAGGGCTGCATACCTTCGGCAGAGCAAAAATACCCACCACTGCCTCCACAGCTTCCTTGCACTGCCACTGCCTGCTCCCAAACTGGCCACATTGCCCTCTGTCTACGAGAAGGCATCCAAGGATAAAATGCCATAATGCAAGACAATACCATAGTGATAACAACACCACCCTGAGTTGCTGCTTTTGATTAATTTCACATGATGCTGTGTGCCAGATACATAAATAGTCCTATGAAACACTCATTTATTTAACTTAAAGAATTTTGTTTTGTAAATGTTTCCATAGAGCTTCAGGTTCGTACAGCCTTTCTGAGATGGACAATCAGCAAGCAAGCAGACTGAAAATATTAAAAGTAGCTTCACAGGGTAAATATTGCTTCCAAGGCCCACATTGATCTGCTACGATGCTCCTCCCTACCCCACACAAATTCCTATATGGCTTTGCAAGTGCAGGCTTCTTTAATAGTTTGTGTTTTGTACAGTCTCGACAAATTCAGACATGAAGAAAGATCCGACTCTTTATCCAGTAAGACAGGGAAGGAAAGCATATCTGCACTTCTCACCACTTGGTTGCTACGCTCACTCATTTTCCTTCTACTTACAGACAGACACTGGCGTTTGGAGAAAGCATGTAGACATTGTTTTCACACAGTGGATAAATAATAATTGCTTTTCCCCAGTAAACGAGATGTGCAGCAAGCTGGAAAACCTGCATTGAGAAAACAGAGAAAAATGAGAGGAGCAAAAGCGAAATTCAAACTCTCAGTGAGAGGTCCATACAATGACAGAAAAGTCTTGTTTGAGCTGAAATGAAAGAAAAATGTTCCATCTTTTACCCTGCCTTCAGAAGAAATTCATGGTTTAATATAACATGTGGCACATCAAAAAGCATTTGACAAGGTTATGAATTTACAGAGATTGCTTCACATTTCTAAGCAACTGAATATTTCCTGCCTTAAAGGAATTTCTTCAAACTGTATCAATAGAAGTTTAGTTACTTTTCATGCCCCGAAAACCTATTTTTGTTTATGCACAAAATTCATTAGATGTTATAACTGAAAAATAAAACAAAAGAATCAGCCTCTACTATGACACAAAGATGAAGGAAACCAACACTGCCTTTTTAATACACTGAGATATTTCAGTAATAAGTTACACAAAGTATTTTAATGTGTTAAACAAGTTGGTGGTTGTTAATGGGTCTGGAAGAGCCACATAAATAGCGTCTACGAAACACAAAATCCAGCCTCTATCATTAGATGCATTTAACTTTGCTTTTTTGTGGAGAACAAAGCTACAGAAGCGGTAGGGAATTTCCAGAGTTCATCCCATCTAATGCCAAGTGCCACCGCAGACCACTGTAAGCAGACCTGGAAATTTTATTACAAAGACCTTTCCCTTGGAATAAGAGAAGGTGTGGACCTACAATCAGGAGCACCTGACATGACAAGCTGTGTTCTTCCCCCCTGTCACACAGAGCAGAGACCCCATCCCCAGGTCTGAATCAACCCACAGAAGCATGAAGCGTCTCTCCCCTCTCCTGCATCATCCGATATAATCATCAGGGCTGACAAACAAAGGGCCCCTGTGACCACGTTTGTCCACAGCGGCCTCTCAGTGGCCTCGTGTCTCATGTGGTTGCCAGCGTCACACTCCCTCCACTACAGAAACTTCCCTTTCCAAGGGCTTGTCACATCCCCCTGGGCAATTCAGACAAGAAATACGGTTGTCAGTACTGGAAAGGCATTTGGAAAGAGCTGCTGGCTTGGAGAGACTGGCTCAACATTTTTGCCCAAGCCTAAACTAGAGCTTCTCCCTTGGGAGTCTGCAAAATCCATGCACTAATGCACTAAATAAAGGGAAAAGCCAATAGGTAGGTTTGCACAGACTTTCAGAGCTCTCCAGTAGAAAAGATCTGGGCAGATCCAGAGAAAGCAGCAGCTTGCACTTGTTTCGCGTGCCTCCATTTGCACAAAGCCATCAATAGGGCAGAACCAAGACGACCACTGCAGCTCATGTCAAGAGTCTATTTGTTCTGGTTTTAACTACCCAAGGGGATGGCACAGAGAAAACAGAGCCACTCTTCTCAGCGGGAAAGGCCAAGAGGCAACACACAAGTTGGAAGATGGGAAATTCCCATCAGATTTGAAGAAAGTTTTTCACTCTGATGCTGGTCAAATGCTGGACCAGGTTGTGGGATCTCCATCCTTGGGGGCACTCAGAATTGGAACAGACAAGTGAGCAGTCTGCTTTAAGGGACTTGCTCTGAGCAGTGGTGTGGATTAGGAACCTCCAGCCGCCCAGGCTACCCCAGCAGTGATTTGTGACTGGGATGTTGACGCAGGACCGTTTAGCACCATCTCTGCACTGCTGCTCTTCACCTCTCCAGCCCTTCCCCATGCCCGGAGGCTCACACCTTCTCTGTGCACTCTGCTTGCACCGAGAGCACTGATGTGCTTACGTGCCACAGAAACCCACTGGCACACAGAGAGAAAATGCCTCGTGAATTAAAAGCACTTCAGCCACCGCTGACAGTTCCCCCTACCTGCAGCAATGCCAAGTCAGCGTCTTGAGCCAGTTGCTGCAAATTCTTCACAGCAGAGGTAGTTTTAATTACTCTCACCAGGGCAGGAGAGCAGTCCAGCGGGAGCTCATTAAGCAATGACTTCTCATCATTTAAAAGCAATAAGGCATGGTAAGGCCTGCAGAAAGAAGGAATACATTTGCACAGTAAACTGCAACGTTTCCTGAAGGCTTAGTTATTCCCAAACCATGATACCTGGCCAATCTACTGCTAAAAAAGAACTTCTAATATCATCCTTCTGCTGTAAGTGGGTTCAGAATAAGCTTATCTTTATGTCACAAGACAAGATGCTCCCCATAAAAAGGGGATAGGGGGCTATATGGTAACTGGATGCCCCAGTGACTAGAAAAAAAAGACTGCACTGTGCTGGCATGCAATTAAGCCAGGAGAACTGGCCTGAAAAATGCTCATCTGAAATAGAGAATGGAGTAGAAAAAAGCAAGAAAGCAAGAGCGAGTTACTTTTGCAGATAAAAAGCTGTAAACATGGAATGCAGGAAATAAGATATCATGGGGCCTGGATTCTCTTTCTTCTAAAAGCAAATTTACTTCTGAGTCAACAGATTAAAAGGAACACACAATTCCTCTGCCTGGAAACAGTGCAGACCTCTCCTGCAGCATCACCTCAGTACAACCACCTCATGTTAATGTAAAGGCTGCGGCTTCGCACCGCCACGTACTCAGCAGCAGCACGGTACCTCGGCATCAGCTTCGGGGATTTGTGTCTCAGCCCACGCGCCCCCCACCACCACCGTTCAGTGTCACATTGTCCCATCGGCTGTGCTAGCACAGACATCTGCAGCACCGCTCTGGGAACTGGAGGAAGGACCGGCCACACTCTGAGGGACAGAGCTCGCTCTTACCTGATAGATTTCAGGCTTCTCTCAATTGCTTCAGGGGGTATAAAGTTTGTGGCAACATAATGGATTTTATGCGGCAGGCAGAAACTCACTTCCAGCCAGTTGTTGATATGTAAACGGACCACCCCTGTTGTGCAGAGACTAAAATAGGAAGAAAATAAATACATACAGCATTTCTTGTATAACAAATGAAAACAGTGGTCCAGATTCACACAGGAATCACATCAGCTCAAGAAAAGACCGAATGTACCCTGTCTGTCTCCCCAGACTGGCTGAGCACCAGCTGATTCCTATCTGCAAGGGCTTCCTTAACTTGTACTTAGAGCATTATCCCCTACGAGGCTTTGGGGGGATTTGAAAGACTTCACCCCACTGATCTTCTGCTCCCTCTGCTTTTAACATTGCAGCAGTATCTCAATTTGAAAGAGTTTCTTGAAGATCTATTGCAAGGCACTGGAAAATTCCCTAGACCAGAGCTGCAAAGGGCAAAGATGAATTGGGCACAATGTTTTCACCTCTAATTTCCATCTTCTTCTCCAAGGAGAAAGAAAAGGAGATGTCTGTACTGGGCAAGGAGTACTATGAGCAGCACATTTCCACAATAATGGACTCTTTCAGTTCTGCTTAGGTTGTTTATTTCCTACCAACCTGCTCCTGCTTGTCACATGAAATCACAAATGTGCTTGTTAAATAGTTTCTTCATTCTAGGAAACCACAGGGACTAGCTTAAGCCTTTAAGCTGACTTCAGCCAACAGGACTGGAGGGAAATGATGGCCATGTCAGGAATGACAACAAAGTCTGACCCTCATGTTCAGCCTGAAAGCAACTATAAGCCTCTCTGACAGAAAAAAACCCCAGAAAGCTGGCAGATTAGAGCAATGAACATCATTCAGGTATTTTTGCAGAAGTCTGTAGTCTAGGCAACAGATGAAATATACCTAGGTAGGTAATAATATTTACTTAAAAATGGGTCAAGATGGGTAGCATAGCATAAGGAGCTAAACTAGCACCACCTGGCAAACCTTTACAAAGCTGCGCAGCCTGCAGGCAGGAAACACTGGCCTGGGAACAGCTTTGCTAGCGTCAGTGGGACCCAGCCGAAGAGCTGAATTTCTCAGTACATCCTTTGGTTTTAAACTTTGTTGCAAAATTTTTTTTTTTGACCTAGAATAAAATTTCAAAGTTTGCACTCTGAAAATTCCAATCCAAATTTTAAATTTGAGTGTGTTGAGACTCGCAATATGACTTTTGTGTCAATAACACCCACAAAACAAAACATACGTGAAAACACGCCAGGAACAGGCTAGGAGTGAATACCTGTCTTGGAAACTCTTTATGTGGTGACTTAACCGTTTATACCTAGCATTCAATTGTAGCCCACAAACTAACACGCTCTTTTCAAGTTCATCTGGTTGTATACAGGGTTTAGAGAGACCTGAAAATTCAGCTTTGAAACACAAACACTGGGTAGCTCCGGCTGCCAGTGTAACTATTCACCAAACCACAACAGAGCAGTGAGAGCGCAAACACCATCCCGTCCTGCCTCCTGCGTGACCAGACTCATTAGGGAGAACCTCGCTGCAGACAGCGCTGCTCGAGAGCAGAGCCACGGACCGGTTCTCAAATCCTGCACCGACCTCTGAAAAATATCTATTTTTCAAGTTGCAAATGGAGCATATATGGCATATGCTTTCCTTTTTTTAACAAATCTCTGATGTTACCACCTCACAGCTGATCAGAAGCTCCAAACCCCCAAGGAACATGCAAAGCACGGCGAACACCTCTGCTTTTCTTGCATTAAATGCTGCAACTCCAGTAACACCACTTATCCCACCAGACATACCCCAACTGACAGATAAAGCTGGATTCTCTCAAAATACATCAAGGCAAAGGCATTCTGAAGCTGTAGTCATCCACACTATCTACCAGGCCAAACACCCACAGGAGAAAACACGGCAATAAGTGAACGGGAGGAACCTGAAAGCTGGTGGGACTATTAAAACAGATTACAGAAAAGAAGCAAAGATACACGGAAACATAAAACACTTGTAGGGATATTTTCCCTGCACAGTTTAACATTCAGGAAACAGAAAAAAATACAGTTGGTTCCTTTAATTCTTTGGTCCAAGTGCACCAAGGCAGAAGCTTTAATTACATAATTACACTCTCCACAGCATAATTTTGTCTACAGTGCACTATACATCAATAGCCCAGAATTAAAGACAACAAGAAAACCAGATTTTCAGTGCTGATCTGGATCTTAATTTCATTCTTCTACATTTGCATTCAACTGTACAATTTCAAGCCTACTTTATAGCTTTACGTGCATGATTTCTCCTTTACCTGCCCCTCCTTGGATGGAAAATAATTCAAGTCTCTAACAATTTGACAAGGAAAAAGCTACGTCCTCCAGCAGCAATGTACGTGACTGCCCTTAGCCAGCCAGAGTTAAATAATTTCACCAATATATACACAAAGATTCATGCAACATGAAATACAGTCAAGTCACAGAATGTGAAGTTCAGATCCACAATTGCGTGGATTTTTACATGAAGTCATCGATTTAGCCAGCTTTATACTGTGGGTCTCACAAACCTCCAGGAGCAATTTGGCTGGCGACCAGCAGACCAGGAGCCACCTTCTTTTAGGGGCAGGAGCAGAACAGCAGAAACCAGCAACAGAAGAGAATACCAAGAAAACAAGTTTTCAAAGTCACCTAGCTCCAATTCTACTTTATTCTTCTTAACCAACTACAATTGTGGAGCAAACAGCCCAGGAAGGCGCAGGACGGTGGGAGGTGAGAACACTGCATCGGCTGCACTGCACACCGGGAAGCTCAGGGACAGAGTTTAAGCCGCCCGTTAGGAAACCTAGAATTGCACAAAGCATTCATGGTGCAGTAGGTACCGCAGGAATTTACAGATTTGTTCTTTGCTCCTTTCCCAACCACTCTTCACATTTTATGGGGATTCTCTGCAGTGTTACTGCCCCCTGAGCTTTTCCACTGAGTTGACTTTTTCACGGAACTATCTGCTGTAATTCCAAAAGCTCTTTTCAGAGTAGTTATGTACTATTTAAGGGCTGTCTGGCCTTACATGCATTACTTCACATCTATCTATACTGAATTTTGTCTGCTGTCTTATCAGACAGTTAACTAGTACCCAGAGACCTTGCTGCAACTTTTCCTTTTTCCCCCACAGATTTCAAGAGCAACTGGGCAAAACCAGCTTCATTCCCCATACCCTAACTGGCCATTAAACCCTCCAAGACATTCAAGCATATCCCACGAAAACTTGGTTTCAACACTATTTTTAAAAAAAATCTCTGCTCAGACAACACATGATGAGTGATACTGAGGGATATTTGGTGAGGAATTGGGATACTGAGAGGGGATATCATAGTCTAAAGTTGAGAAAGGGCAAAGTAAACACGAAAAAGCTGTTTAATGTCTCTCCATCATACGACCTGTGAGACTTCTCATGATACTAGAAGGAGCAAAGTTCAAAAGAAATAGAAAGAAACACAGAAACTAGTTCAGCCATGGACCTCCTTATCAGAGGATGCTGTGGTTGTAAAATATTTACTCTGGCTCGCAGGACCATGGACTAATTCCGGAAAGTGAGATCAGATGAAGGCTGTTGAATATACAGAAACCACCTCCAGAGCTGCAGGAAGCTGGGGAACATTTTTGGAAATATCACTGCTCTATTCTGCTCTGCCTAGAACAGTGACTGTGAGCCACTGCCCCAAAATGGGAACACGAAAGTCAGCCAGCATCCCACAGAATCCCACCTCATATTTTATAGGAGAGTTATGAATTTTTACATACACACACCTCATTTTATGGCTATCCTATTTAGATGAGAAATTAATATGTTTTCTAGTTTGGTGGAGGCTTGTAGCTTTGGAATTTGTTTATTTTTGCTAGAGGTTGTGACTACTTAGAGCTTTGAAATGGTTTCACATTTCCTTGTCAAGGACACATTGACTGTCTTTTGGTCAAAGAACTGTAGTTGGCTGTATTTAACAGTACAGCCACACAAATAACATCTAATAATTCATTAAATCTCATATAATTATTCCACTTCTCCCTGAACTGCTGAGATAGGCTTGATCTACAAGTCACTTCAAATCCCACTAGGCAAAAAAATTATTAAAGCTCTTTGTATATTAAAAAAAAAAGAGACAAACAAGCCAATCCTCCCCAAAAACCTCCCCATACTTTCACTTTTATTCCAATATAAAGCTCAGAGAAGTTTGCTAAAAACAGGCAGGCAGTTAGCTAGTATCAAGCTAACACATTACCTGCAGTTGCAGATAAAGCTTGGTGAAAGCTGTCTTAATTCCCTAAACGGAACGCTGGCTTAAAAGAGACACCCACTGTAACACTGGTACATTTGTCAGCGCTGGAGGTACTGGCAACTGGACTTGCCTGGTCCTGAAGCCATTGCTTTTTGTTCCCCACCAATGCTGGAGTTTGAGGACAAGCTGAATGAAGACCTCAAATCTATTTTCTGAACTAATAAAAAAGAAACATTCTAATTTTCTTCATTAGAGTCAAAAAAGGTCCCAGGAACTAGATGTTGATTACCTCTAAGCTGTCAGTTTAATAATATTCCATTTCTATAGCAGCAACAGCGCTACACTCCAGATGACCTGGCTATTGATTCCTGCCTTGTAAAATGGGAGCATTTCATTCAAAATGCAGGGGACATTTTGAACTAAAAAAAGATTCCTACACTTGTGGTTTTGTACAAACCAACTTGCTAAGGGACATGTTGGGTCTTGCCTGAAATACCTCAGCACCATCTACAGGAAACCAAGGGCTAGACAGCACCTCTGGAGCAACCGGGATAATTCAAGAGGCCTTCGACTGGAACTGCAGAAATCAGCAGACACTAGGAAATGCTGGCTTGAGCGGATCCCAAGAGCTGGGTTCCCATCTGCAATGCAAAGTGCTCTCTCCACTTTACTGCGCTGTTCCCCTATGCCAAAGGCTATGCCAGAAATCTCTGTAAATTTAAAACAGCACATTGTTACTGCATGCATTTGAAGACTTACTGTTCCCAGCAGTCTTTTCTCCTCTAAAAGAAACACACCAAATCTTTCAATCTTTCCTCTTAGGTCATTCTCACTCCTCCACACTCTCTAGGTGGCCCAAATCCTTCTTAAAATGCAGTGCCCAAGACTGGATACAGTATTCATTACAGCAGGGGATTTACAATCCTGAGCAGGACTGGTTCCCATCTTACAGACAAGATTTTATTTTATGCATTATCCTCTATTTGCTTTTTCTGCAATCCCATGTCACTTGTGACTAACCCTTGTTCCAGGACAGACCACACAGACTTCACTGCAGAGCTGTTGCCCCTCAGGAATTCTTCATCTTGGAGTTGCAGAATAAAAATTATATTTCTAGAGCATTTCTTCTACTTGACAAAAAAAATATTTTAATTCTGTGCCCGCCCATCTAGGTACTACTGCAGGTGTAAGAAGCACATTCCCTACTTTCTCATATGAAGCATTAATGGAAAACTCCTGCAGAACACCACCATATTCAGCCAGCCAGCAACTCCGCGAACTACTCTTCAAATAGAGCTTTCCAGTCAAATGCACAGACATTTCTTACATTTGGTTATGACAATGTCATGCAAAAGTGCCAAAATACAACTTGCACCACTTCTCCCCCACTCACAATTCCTGAAGGAGGGAGACACTGCCTTATTTTACATTTGGGGGCAACACCAACGTGTATTTCTCCGTGGCCAGTCTCTCCTCTGTATTTCATGGAAGGGTTGTGTTAGCACACTCCATGAGCCTGGGCTGTGCTCCTCCAGTCACAGCTAAGTGCCACAAGATGTCACTGTGTCACCGAAATGTTTGGAAACAAGATGAGGGTTTGCCCAGTCACAAAGACATAGCCCCAGAGGAACAGAGGAAAGTTAAGTAGTAGGTGAAGTTTAATAGTAGAATTACAGGCTACATAAAAAGTGCCGTATTTTAACATTTAGTATGGGTTTTGTGAGAGTTGTATCGAACGATATACAATGTTCCTTCCAAACAGGCTGAAATTCAAAGCTTTTGAACATAAAAAAGAATAGATTATTAGAAGCTTTGTGGTGTACTTTGCAGTCATTAATTTACTTGGGCTCTCAGTGCCTCACCTTACAGTGCCTTGTGATTATTCCCTCTGTACAAGGGAAACCACAATCTAGGGAGGCTAAAGGGCTTGGCTAATGTCATGCAATGTGCTCTACAGTCAACCAAAGAAGTCAGGAGTAATTTTCCCAGGCCCTGACAAACACCCTCATCAAGGGGCACATCATCTTCCTCCCACCAAAACCTTCTTTGTCGAGGTGTTTCACCAAGTGCCTATCCTGAACGGAGATGTCTGCTCTGCACGAGGAGCCAGCACTGATGAGCTGTCAGAGCAGAAGTACGCTGGGGGAGACTGGTGTCTGCTGAAATTCAACACTAATTCCACGTTCCTTTGAAATCCTTGCCAGAATTTTTAATTCAGTCAAGAAACAGCATGTTACACTTTCCATTCTGCTCAAAGTCTCACAACCTAACCCAAATTCACTGTCCAGACATGCACAGTGCAACCAAACGAAGTCAGGGCAGTATCGGACTTGCCATCAGTGGTAGACACAGCCGTGTGCACTTAGCTGCAGGTTTAGAACACCTCTACAGTGATATATTACCGTATTATGACACTTTTCAGTGCTACAATTCATTTGTCATATGCCTCTCTGCTAAGGAAGAAAATAATAATTTTTAAAGCTGTGACAGACATCAACAGCTTTTAAGAACCATAACATATCCAAAGGGAGACCACGGTAAAGATTAGGATAGCAATTCTGCAAACACTTCACCTGACAGCTAGCCTTCACATTGCTCTACCTGGTCTGCAGTATGAAGAGCTGGATACATGCATCCAAGAGGCCAAGAGGCTTCAGTGAGAAGCAGCATACTATGAGGTAGGAAGGAAATCCCACTTACCTGTCATATGTCTCTTTGAGATCTCTGGCCAGTTTGCACTTGGGTAGGATGTGATGAAAAGGTGACTGTGGCCCTTCAGTGGCTACGGAAATGTTCAAAACAAGAAAGCAAACAACTGATTCCAAAGCAAAGTGAGTTTCCTCTTCCCCCACTAGATATCAACCAGTATTTTAGGGACAGAATCCATAGCTTTTGAATCTACAACTATCTTTTAAACCTTTTACAATAATTCAAGTTATGTGTTAAAAATAATAATAGTGAATTACTGCCAACTTCTGCTAAACCTCAACTCAGTTAAACAGATGTAACTGTGAATTTGACATGGGATGATTTTAAGTGGTTTTTTTGTTTATATGTCAGTTTTAATTTTTAATGCTTGCAGCAAGATGATGTGTCACTGTCAGATAGAGTTCACCTTAAATAGTGCATATTATTATAGTACATTGCTCTGAAGTACACTCTGTAGAAGTGCTCTGTAACTCTTTGCTAGCCATGGTAACAACACGTAAGAGTAAAGTTTTCACAGAAGTCTGGTGACTCAGCACACAGCATTAAAGCATGGGAAACTTGCTCTAGGTTGTGTGAAACAGGCTACATACAGGTTCTTCCATCTCAGCCTGACAGGCAGACCCAAATGTGATGGTTCAGTGCACATTCTCCAGTGATCGCGCTGAACTGAGCTAGCAAGGAAAGTAAAGGAGCTATTGAATTTCTAAAGCTGACAGCTCTGCGTAGGGATAGTGATCTTAGATGAGGCCAAATGCAGTCAAAATCTGTCAGAATGCTAAAGAGCACCACAACTTGTTCACGTGGATCCTAGACACAAAGTAAGTCAGGTGGCACATCAGCACTTTTCTGAAAGAGTGCTTCTGGACAAACATTCCTGCACAAAGCTAAGCTCAGCACTCACTTTCTGACATGGCAGAGACTTCATCCTGAATAGCTAAGATCAGCTTGGCCTCCCTGGTCAGGTATTGGCAGCGGCGCTCCTCATGCTGCAAGACTATGGCGATTCTTCGGGAGAGGTTGTGTAAGCAGTTTATCACGGATGGATCTGCATTGGCCTGCAGGCAACACAGAAAAATAAACAGGTCAGTCATTCAGCTACAATCGCATGTATGGAACTACAGTCATGGATAAGGAATCAAAAGCATTATCTTAAGTTAATACCAAAACTCAAGTCTCTTTGGCAACCTGCAAAAAGAAATGAGTTTTCTCAAACAGCAACAAAGCAGAGGCTGAGAGCTGTCCAAAGCTAAAGGGAAGGCTTGGGGATTTCTAAGCTTGTCTATGTGCATCAGATGAACACAGCACCTGGAGTATGACACTCCTACCCAATTTATTTTTTCCAGTTGTTACTGGGCCTTTTGCTAGCAGAGAGACCAAAGAACTCCATTTCACACAGCAAGAAAAGAAAGCATGAAGCTATTTGAAAAAGGCAGAATATCATGATATTCAGGTGAAATTCACTGGGAGTGTAAGGACAGCAGTGCTTTTGCAGTCCCGTTAACATGGCGCACTCTCTCCATGTTGCCATACTGATGTTTGTCTTACATACTGACAAGATGGTAACTAGGTAAGAATTACCAGCACATGATGGACAATTTAATCCTAAATCAGAATGAATGTAGATTTAAGTTTCCAAGTATTTCACAAATATGGCTTATTACTACCACTGCATTCATGCAGGTCCCAGAACCTGCTGGAAAAATATCGTGTAAGTACAGCTGACAAGGGGGGGACGCGGTGGCTCCAGTCTGAGTAAGCAGCTGTTTCATGTTTGTTAAGACATTTAAAGGAATTTACAGTTCCAGCAAGTGATAACTTGGCATGTAAACTCACAAACCATGAGTCATCATTTTTGGATTCCACTGTTCTTGCTGAGTCACGACACGTTGGTAACCCAGAAGCTTAAACACAGCAGGATGAGTGCTGATTACAGCACTTGGGACTGTGCCTGCTCTGTCTGCCCACTGCAGATGGACTCTCATCTTTATCTCAGAACGCCTCACCCACCCTCTGCAGTGCACTACGCCATGCTAGGAAAAAATTTCCACTTGCTTCTTGCACAGCACTTTCCAGAAACTTTACAGCTCTCTGTGAACTAAGAGTGTTTAATTTGGCAAAAATGATTTAGTGCCACACTACACACACAATTACATCAGTATCATCACAGTGCCAAAATGCAAAAAAGAAGCAAGTTTTCCTAGGAGAACCACCAGAAACTGGATTCTAGAAAAACGTGGGCTAGATACAGTCTTCACTGCATTCCACTAAGCTCTTGCAATATTGTGAGTGAAGGAGCATTGGTTTCAACACTTCTGCTTCCACATGACTCAATGGGCATGAATGTTTGCGTTTGCATGTGCGTCTACACACACTTACCTCCAACCCAAGCATGGTGCTTTACAATACACCAAAACAACAACATTCTCTTCATGTGTGAAATCTACAATCAGCTTCTGGATTGCAAATTCACCACTTCCTGACCTAGGAATGTCCCAAAGCACAAGAACACTGGCTCTCCAGCAGAACTCGGTGAACGATTTCTTGCTGGATTCAGACTGATTGCTGGGATAATTGTCTTGTGTGAAACCTTGCTCTTCAGCTGAGGACAAGCCATCTGGACTGCAGCCATGTCCATGTTAGTCACCACTGGAAAGCCAGTGCTAAGAAAAGCACTAGTGCTAAGAGGGGGAAAAAAAAAGGTAATTTCACAAGCAGGGAGCTGGAGGCTTTTAAATCATGACATTATACCCAGTCGAGCAAAAATCCACCGTTTCCATAAAGACTGCTACTCCAACTCCCTCTTTTATTTTTAAAATAAATAAAAATATGAGTGTACATGCCAAAAAAGTAATATGATGGCTCCACAGATGCAACCTGCGGACTGGGAAGAGAAAGCCAGAGCTCAGAAATCAAATAATGCTCAAGCATAATAAGATTTCTAGGGTTTTATACCACTTGATGAGCCAAGCCAGGATCCCTTAACGCAGACACCAACATCTAGTCAATAGAGTAGGCCCGAAAAAAATTCCAAGCAAAAACTAAGTATTTGCTCCAGGTTCTTGCTGAGCATCAAACCCTACGTATTTTTCACTTGTACCTTCTCATTTCGAATGCTACAGCCGCTGCTCCCTGGCACTCTGCCTTTACAATGATCTCATTGCTAAGAGGAGGCAGCTTTCAAACACTGTCCATTTAATTATAAAAAAAGCCTAGGGGCACTGGGCAAAGGCACATGTCTCTGTATCACACAGCATGAGTAAGGACTCAAAACAGTGCTGTTCTGAGCCAGAGCAGGTTTCTGAATACAGGACTTGCAAGTGGGGTCGCATCTATTTTGCAAAGTGGTTTCTTGCATGCCTTTACACTCTGGGTATGTAAAACCAAAAACTCCAGAAAGCGTCCTGAAAAGAACAACTGTACTTGTTTTCCACTGGGCTGGAAAGCTTTCACACTTGCCAGTGTCACATTCTACATTGTTTAGGTTTGTTGTTTCAAATTAAAATATCCCAATGAAATCAAGCACTAAATGTTTTACAAGAGATTACTGCAACGTGAGCCTGCTCCATTCTCTTATACATCCAAAGCACATCTCACTGTCAGATGGAATGAAGACAGTCCTTACCCTTAGTGCAAACACCACGTTGAAGAGAATCATAGTGGGCATCTCTCTCTTTGGTGAGGGATCAGTTTTGGATACCTGAAAAATATTTTTTAAAAAATCCCATAGGCTAATGTCAGTTGGATCCAGTAACAAAGGGGAAAAGAAAAAAAAAGAAAAAAAAAAGCCTAACTCAGTCAAATAACAAGTTTGCTGAGAAAAGAGAGTGGACAAATCAAATTACACCACCAAATTTGACTTGTAAAAAATAAGATTATGATTTAAGTGTCACAGTTACTCTACAACACTGCCTTTTCTGAGAAGCTGTGAACATTTAAACCAAACATTTTGGTCATGACCACGGAAATGAATATCAGTTAAGACCGCAGTTTTGCTAGGTGTCTTTTCTATTGTATTTTAGCATCATTAGGGGACCCTAGGTTTAAATTCCTTAGCACAATTGTCATATATATTGCTAACTAAAGAGAAGCCCATAGATTTCTCATCCCAGGCCACCCCTATTCTTTCCTTTCACAAAATCCCCATTTGTATTGTGTTATATTACAAACTGTTGTTTTTATCAGAAAAAAAAAAATGTTCTAGAACTCCAGTACTAAAATAAAAGGTTTTATTTTCCCTTCCTGCAGGATTTCAAACACGTTCTCCAGCCCCCTCTATTCTTTCTGCAGCGGAGAGCTTTGTCCCTAACACAGGCACAGACTTTCTGGTGGGGAGGAACAGCGGAAGCCAAGAGGAGCAAATTTAATTTACACATCGGAGAGTAACAACTCTGAATCGAGCAAGTGTCGCCACAAGATGGAGCACAAAATCCAGAGGACACTCCTGCCGCCCCCGAAGCTACCTCCGG